CGGCCGGGGGGGGGGGGCCCGGCATGATGGGGTGATTGTCTTCCCCCTTGGGGGGTTTTTTAAGGCCCATGCATTATGGTGTGATTGTCTTACAGTGCAGAGCCAGGCTTGGCAGTGTGCTATAATCAGGAAGCAAGACCTTGATAGGTGTTTGTTTGTTTGTCACTTGATCAAGATGCTGATCTTTTGAAATATTGCTATGTGTAAATGATATATACTGTAATTTAGGGTTAGGGTTGTAAGTGATATCTACCACCTGTGCATTGATGTAATGCTAATCTCTCATGGAAAGATTCTCATGGACAGATGAAATTGGCGAGAATCTGTCAAGGCTCACATAGAATTATGTGATTACGAGCAGCATTAGTTACTGGTTTGGGGTTTTCGTTGGAAACGTGCTTCCTTCCTTCGCACAAAGGTAATCGCAATTGTTAATGGCATTCCCCCCAGAAGTAAAACAGGAAATGACAAACTTTTCGTGAGACAATTTTACTTCTATGTAACCGAGATTAATGTAATGCTGAAATGCCATGCATTGCAAGGCTACATTGGATAGTTATCTGTGTATATTAGAATAATGCTACAAAGCTTGTATTAAACCTCTGCCATAAGTGCTGTAGGCTAGTATATTCACAAGTGGCCTCTCCTTGAGATGTTTTAACTTACACAGTCAAAATATGAAATATGTATTGTAAAAGTGTTCATTATTTTTCAGTCAGGGCACTCAGAACTTGAATGGCCCTCCAGTACTAAAGTGAATGTGTATTTGGTTGAAGGAGGCCCTGCTCTCTGGAGATGGACTCCTCCTCTGCGTCCCAAATAACACCCTATTCTCTATATAGAGCACTACTTTAGACCAGGGCCCATAGGGTGGCAGTGCTCTGGCGCTGCAGCCAATTCTGCTGTTGGTGGGAATTAATGGGGATCTTGCTGTGTGCAGCACTCCCTCCCTATAGAAATGGATTGTGGACAGCCAGCACATCATTTTTACACCCTCGACAAATGCCGCATGTTGGAGGACAAGCCCATGACTTGACAAATGACTCGGGTGACGGGCCGGCAGCGGAGCGACGGCAGAGGAGACATTCGCTTCCAACCAGCCACCCTCGTCACCCCATCCCCGTGCCAGTGGCCAGGGGCCAGGGGTCAAGAGAAACGGGATTAAAATTATCCCCCAAATTAAAAGGCATATCTGCCTTGTCTTTTCTTGTTTGAATTTTTCTAATTCTGCACTATGCATGTGTCTGCTGCTGCCTCAGCTGCCCGGCTGCCTGCGCTATTCATTAGTTTTATAACCTGTGGTTACTAGGCTGCATGGGTGGCAGTGGAGCAGGGTGGGGTTGAGGTGTGGAGCAGGGCAGGGTTGAGGTGTGGAGCAGCGCGGGGTTGAGGTGTGGAGCAGGGCGGGGTAGAGGTGTGGAGCAGGGCGGGGTAGAGGTGTGGAGCAGGGCGGGGTAGAGTGTGGAGCAGGGCGGTGGTAAGAGGTGTGGAGCAGGGGCGGGGTAGAGGTGTGGAGCAGGGCGGGGTAGAGGGTTGTGGAGCAGGGGCGGGGTTAAGGTGTGGAGGCAGGGCGGGGTTAAGGTGTGGAGCAGGGCGGGGTAGAGGTGTGGAGCAGGGTGGGGTTGAGGTGTGGAGCAGGGTGGGGTTGAGGTGTGGAGCAGGGCGGGGTTGAGGTGTGGAGCAGGGCGGGGTTGAGGTGTGGAGCAGGGCAGGGTAGAGGTGTGGAGCAGGGCGGGGGTAGAGGTGTGGAGCAGGGCGGGGTTGAGGTGTGGAGCAGGGTGGGGTTGAGGTGTGGAGCAGGGTGGGATAGAGGTGTGGAGCAGGGCGGGGTTGAGGTGTGGAGCATTGACAAGGGGAGTGTTGTACGTCCTGTTCAGATGCTGGTCTCTTGTTTTGCTCTACATTCTTAGAAAAGAGGGTTCCAAAAGGATTATTCGGCTGTCCCCATAGGAGAACCTTGTTTGGTTCCATGTAGAGCCCTTTTTGGTTCCACATAGAACCCTTTTGGATGGAAAGGGTCCTACATGGAACCCAAAAGGGTTCTACCTGGTACCAAAAAGTGTTTTTCAAAGGGTTCTCCTATGGGGACAGCCGAATAACCATTTTAGGTTCTAGATAGCACCTTTTTTTCAAAGAGTGTACTCTCTCAACCCTCCTGAACACAGAACCAAATCTCTTTGTTGAGACTGAAGTTCTGACAAAACAAGCTGTTCGATTGCCAGGACCTTGGTCTCCCCTTAAAGAGGTGATGTGTCCCAAATTGCAGCCTATTCCCTTCATAGTGTACTACTTTTGAATAGGGCCCTATTGGGTGTGGTCAAAGTAGTGCACTATATAGGGAATAGGGTGCCATTTGGGACAGAGCCAGGGAGTCTTGTTTCAGATCAAAGGGAATCTCGTTTGCCACTCAGCATTGTACAGGGCTGATGTGTGTTGACTTCACACAAGTGTCTTTCCATTGGCCATTAATCTCTTTATTGAGCTTCTTCTTCTACTCTTTAGTTGTGTCTTTTGTCAGAAATCAGTGACTGCAGTTCACTGGTTTATGACCAGCTTTTCAATTAAGGCAGCAAAATCACACACGCTCAGACACACACACGCAATGCGCTCAGCTCACACACACACACACTGTGTTTACTTCCTCTCTCTGTAACGGTATCTTCTAAATGTCAGGAACCCTGGGGCTTAGATAACGGGGGATGGGGAGATGTAATGTGTGTGTGTGTGTGTGTGTGTGTATGTGTGTTTCAGCTGTCGTCTCCTCTTTGGCCTCCTTGACTGACATAGCAGCCCTGCTTCACCACGACCCCCTGATGCCCCCTCCACTGTCACTCTGCCCACCATCACACACACCCTGCTTCACCACGACCCCCTGATGCCCCCTCCACTGTCACTCTGCCCACCATCACACACACCCTGCTTCACCACGACCCCCTGATGCCCCCTCCACTGTCACTCTGCCCACCATCACACACACCCTGCTTCACCACGACCCCCTGATGCCCCCTCCACTGTCACTCTGCCCACCATCACACACACCCTGCTTCACCACGACCCCCTGATGCCCCCTCCACTGTCACTCTGCCCACCATCACACACCACCCTGGCCCCTGCTTCACCACGACCCCCCCTGATTGGCCGCCCCCCTACACTGTCCTCTGCCCACCATCACACACACCCTGCTTCACCACGACCCCTGATGCCCCCTCCACTGTCCACTCCTGCCCACCATCACACACACCCTGCTTCACACGACCCCTGTGATGCCCCCTTCCACTGTCACTCTGCTTCCCAACCATCACACACACCCTGCTTCACCCCGGACCCCCTGATGCCCCCCCTCCACTGTCCCAACTCATGCCCCCCACCATCACACACACCCGGCCTTCAACCACGACCCCTGATGCCCCCTCCACTGTCACTCTGCCCACCATCACACACACCCTGCTTTCACCCCGACCCCTGATGAGCCCCCTCCACGTCACTCTGCCACCATCACCACCACCCCTGCTTCACCACGACCCCCTGATCCCCCCTCCACTGTCCCTCTGCCCACCATCACACACACCCTGCTTCACCACGACCCCCTGATGCCCCCTCCACTGTCACTCTGCCCACCATCACACACACCCTGCTTCACCACGACCCCCTGATGCCCCCTCCACTGTCACTCTGCCCACCATCACACACACCCTGCTTCACCACACCCCTGATGCCCCTCCACTGTCACCTGCCCACCATCACACACACCATGCTTCACCACGACCCCCTGATGCCCCCTCCACTGTCACTCTGCCCACCGTCACACACACCCTGCTTCACACAGACCCCCTGATGCCCCTCCACTGTCACTCTGCCCACGTCACACACACCTGCTTCACAGGACACCATGCCCCCCCTGTCCTCTTGCCACCATCACCACACACACCCTGCTTCACCACGACCCCCTGATGCCCCCTCCATGTCACTCTGCCCACCATCACACACACCCTGCTTCCCACGACCCCCTGATGCCCCCTCCTGTCACTCTGCC